CAGTGAGTGGTCGTGCAATTGTAGCGAAATTGCATATAAAATGTCGGAAGTACGAGCATAAGCCCACAAAACAACGAACATCTTTGGTAGTAGAAGGCAGAGGAAAGTTATTGACAGTGCTAATCTTGTCAGGGTCCGGTTGGATGCCAGCAGCACTTACACGATGACCAAGGACCGTGATTTCTCGTCGGACGAAATTGCACTTTTTCGAGTTCAGCTGGAGCCCCGCTCGACGAAAAACGGCTAGAATGGTTGACAAACGAGTTAGGTGGCTTTCAAATGTTGGGAAAGAAACAATCCCAACGTCTCGGTAGCAAAGGCAGATGGACCATTCATAACCTCGGAGGAGAGAGTCCATCACGCGTTCGAACGTTGCCGGGGCATTGCACAGCCCAAAAGGCATAACCTTGAACTGATAAAGGCCATCCAGTGTGACAAAGGCAGTTTTTTCGTGGTCTAAGTCGTCAGAAATTCGCCAATAGCCCGAACGCAGATCTATAGATGAGAAGTATCGCGCACCATGAAGGCAGTCGAGGGCGTCGTTGATCCGTGGCAGCGGACATACCATCTTTGCGGGTTATCTTGTTCAAGGCACGGTAGTCAACGCAAAATCTCCAACTGCCATCCTTCTTTTTGACTAAAACAACAGGTGACACCCATGGACTTGAAGAGGCCTCTATGACTCCCGAGCATCTTCTCGACTTCTCGTGGTATGACCTGGCGTTCGGACTGGGAAACACGATAAGGTCGCCGTCTAACAGGACTAGCACCGCCGGTATGTATTTGATGACGCACGACGGACGTTTCACCTAAAGGGCGGTCATCGATGTCGAAAATATCTTGGTAGGTGGTCAGAACGTGGTGGAGTTGCGCAACCTGACAGGGCGGAAGATCAGGGGATATCATCATCGTGATTTCATCGGTAGGTGTGTTTACTCAGCTGGCTGCAATAGGGGACGAGCAGTCTTCAGGGTCTAATGCGACTTGTTACATGCATAAAGTGGGGAAACATGGCCTAACGAAATGCCTTGCGGGAGAACTTGGGTCGAACTACTAAAGTTGAGAAGCGGAAGCTGAATGTAGTTGTCCACGATAGTCACGACAGTATGCGGCACAGCAACACTTCGCGCCAAGAGCACATCCACTAATGGAGACACTATGTAGTCACCGTCAGGAGGAGCTGGTGATATCGTTAAGGCCACAAATGTGGTGGCTTGCGGTGACAGCCGAACGTAATCAACAGCGCACAAGCGGTGTGACGGTGAGGACGGCACAGCCCCAAGTCAAGGCAGTTCAAGTTGGAGAGCGCCGGTTGCACAGTCGATGAGAGCAGCATGAGTGGACAAGAAATCCAATCCAAGAATCAGGTCATTGGGGCACTGCTCAATAACTGCAAAGAGAACAGATGTGGGGTGATCGGCGATTGCGATGCGTACTGTGCAGAATCCTGTGATGGTAAGACTTCTTCCGTCAGGGACACGAATAATGCCACAAGCAGCCGGTGTGAGAACTTTCTTCAGGCGGCGACGAAGTTGGGCACTCATCACAGAAATATGCGCCCCGGTGTCAATAAGTGCAGAAACAGTCAGGCCGACGACATCTACGTCGATCAAATTTCGTCGTGTCGGCAGTACAAGGAGAGGATTTGAGGTCGGAATCGAGGATGCAGCTCCACCTCTAAGAGCTGCACCGTTTAGTTTCCCTGATGAGAACTTAGCGGGGAGGTCGGGCGTCGTCGTAGAGGAAAAGGGGTCGATGGGCGACGTCCAGGCACCGAACGAGACTGATGACGTCGAGGCGACGGTGAGCGCTGTTCTACGTATCTGGGGCATCGAAGGGTGGAAGGCGGCGGTAGCTGTCGCGGATCGGCGCAGGAGGCTGGAAAAGGCGATAGCTGTCGGCGCGGCGAGCAGTGTTATACTGTGTTCGGGACGAAGACCAATGATTGCGGCAATACCGTGCGACGTGCTCTATGCGGCGGCAGTTAATTTAGATCGGCCGATCATCCGCTATTAGCCATTCGGCCGGATTGCGAGAGCGTGGAAAAGACTGTTCCTGGGGCGGTGACCTGGGGCGACGCGGCGACCTCAAACGGAAGCCAATTGGTCAAGATTGAGCAACGGTGCAGACATCGAAGCCCAAATTGCCGAGTTCTTTCCGCACAACCGACTGTACCAAGCAAACCTGAAGTACTTGCGAATCGACGGGGCCGTTGGTGGGAAGAGCAAGTGTAATTGCTTCGGTTTCCCGCCGGACGATTCGCGTAATTTCAGCCGCCGATGAAGACTGACGATGAGAGGTCAGTCCATCTTCGCAGCAGGACGTTGCAGCGGTGTTCGGCAGTCGAGGGAATGATCTTGAAATACGCCTGCTTTTGGCCTGTTCAAAACACCGGCATTTCTGAATAATTTGCTCGACGGTCGCGCAGTTCCAGCACATTAAAGGTTGAACGCATCATCCGCTATCTCCTTGAGGACGTGCCCAACCTTATCAGACTCCAACATGTCGTTGTCGACATTACGACATAGAGACAGCACATCCTGTATATACGAGACATACGGCTCTGTGGAAATCTGAGCACATATAGACAACTCCTTCTTTGCAGCCGCCTTCCCAAATAAGTCTCGAAGCTTCTCCTTCAATGTGTCCCAACTGCCGATCTCCTCGTCATGGTTCTTGTACCAGACTTAGGCTGTGTCTTTCAGGTAAAACAGCACGTTGGCCAGCATGAGAGTCGGGTCATACCGGTTGAGCGCACTGGTACGTTCGCAGTCAGCTATCCAGTCGTCAACATCAACTTCGTCCGTACCGCAGAACGTTCCTGGATGTTTCGGATGCGTCAGCACGTACGTGGGTGGGGCTGGTAAAGGCTCCGTGGATGGTGCAGCCGTCGCCGAGGCCGATGGAGAGGTGGCCGTGGAATCAGTCCCGTGTTCCATCACGGAAACTCCGATTTGACGACCACTGCAGAGCTCTGTTGTATGGCGCTTCGTTACCCAGCATGTCCACCAATTTGTTACAGGGATTACAAATACACGGAAGAAACAAACGAGTGTGTTTGCAATATTTACAGGTAGGTGTGACACCCCAGGACTACTAGGATCTCGCGCGCCGAATCCACTTCATCATCGATGCATCTACGACGGCGGAGCCATGCCCACTGCCTCGTAACAATATCATGGCACACTTTTAGTCAGTTAATATGCACCACAAATGTAATAAGACTGATTGTTTGCACGAGCGTGTCGTTTGTTTTAGTCCTGTAGCAAATCGTCGCCAAGTGCTCGTCTCCCGCAAGGCTGCTTATCAGTTCGGTGACTGTACTGACTACTAATGTGCGATGAATGTGCATGCGTAATCCGCGATCCGTCGAATAACACGGCGATGTTTTCCGGCTTGTCCAGAATAATTTACCCGTAAATGTCGCGAACCAGACTTGCTCCCTCGCTCATCAATTTCGAGGCTACACGAGTGCCGAGGTGTTAGTTTCCTTTTTCACGTAAGACTGCCACATTTCCGAGCGGAGACCACGACAACGTTGCAAACACGTTGTTGAAAGCAGTCTACCTGTTTCCAGTAGCCTCCGTTGCGCGGGCGGAGAGCACGTTCACCACAAACGGATTGACTTTCTGTTGTTCACCGACGCGCGGCGTACTCCACACTGACGACCCGTCGCGCAGTTCAAGGTCCTTTCATCAGGCGGGGTGAACCACGGCATCGGCGCGTTTAGCGATAGACTGCGCTTCTGTTCTGTCACTACAAAGATTGATATCTCTTGTAGCTTCACTTCTGCTTTTTACTTGCCGTCCTTTAACTCATAAGGCTGCAAAAGAGTAATGTTGTCGGCAACCAATGGGCTCGTGCGTGAGTTAGGCCTACACCGGTGACTCTGCGACAGTCGTTGACCGCGGCGAGTTCGTTATCCTCGTTGTCCTGAGCCATAGAGACGCTCATTCTAAACTTCACAGCAAACGAACGATCACCACATCCGCTTCACAAATTACTGTAGCACGGAACTTCTTTACTGCCGCAGGCAGTCAGTAGCACCATGACAACATGGCGCGTGTCCGGGCGCGTCACGATAGTGAAGCAGACGCCGGAAACGCCACTTAGCCAATCAGATGCCTAGGTTTTGTCACATGCCTCAAGCAGCCAATAGAATCGCGCGCTAGTGCTTCGCGATGACGCGTTTTTGTTGAAAAACCAATGAGCAAGGCGAAGCAGCGGTGGCGAGAAATTGAAGATGAAGAACGACCCTTCCAAACAAGACCAAGATGAACACGATAGCTCATGTGTAACGGCAACAGTTCGGCGTGGAATAGCATGATTTCAGCATCAATTTGCACTCGCATTCATATCACAGGGATGTTATACGTCGATTTTGCGCCAGAAATAATGACGCGAGAAGCTAGAAACTTCTCAGATAGGTGCAAAAATAAGTACAGATTCCGAAAATGTCAGCTTCAAAAAGTAGATTTTTTTTTTTGCGATTTTTGGCTTTCTAAGACCTGTGCCCTAACTTGAGCACAACAATTTATACTTTCCTGTACTAACTGTCTGTTCAATTCTTCTAATTGAATGTATTGAATGTAAAATATAAATGAGCACCTCAAAGTTCTGTTTTTTTCATTTTTTTCAATATGAAAAGCACTGATAACTTCACTGATTGGAAGTACCCTGGACAATTATTTGTAGTGAAAACAGCTTTGAAAATTATTTGTTGTGAAGAGAGCTTTTGCTTTTTGTGTTCATTTCTTATGGGGCAGCTGGCAGGAATTGTGAAATTTTCTTGTAGCGGTATACGTTGTAGTTGTACCCATGTAGTGGGATTCAAAAGTTATCCAAAAAAAGATTGGGTAGCGTTGCAGCTGACCATATCGCATTTTACGATCACTTCCAACCAACATAGTGATCATATCATAGAAAATTTTCCCAGCTTTCAATGCTTGACAGAATACCAGCTGCTCGTGATTTGCATTAACAGCGTATAACATGCTCACCCTAGATTTCTTCACAGCACGACTGCGACTTTTAAATTCTTCATCCTGTAGCTTGCGAGCTAGTTCTTCATCATCTTGTTCCTGCAAGGTAAGAGCAGTGCAACAGATGAGGATAAAAAACTTTATTCATGTGCATAGAATATACAAGGAGCAACACTAGAACAGAGATGACCACATCACACTATCTCTACACCTACTACTAAGAACTACCTAGGAAAAATGTGTCTTTATACGTTAAACAATTCTGCTTAATTACACATTACCACAGTAAGCTTTGGAAGCATCTTTTTTGTTTATTTGTTAGAGCGTAGTAGCACTTACCCATAACAAGTGCAGAAAAACACTGCCCTAGGCCTCATCCAACACTGGATCATCCAATTAATGCAATAAGAACTGTATAAATGAAACGCACTTCAATGTAGCCAAGTCAAGTTTTCTGTCACTTTTTGCCGCTTGTTCTGCTTGTCCATCAGGGCACACACCAATGAGCACACAAGACAGCCTATTCTGAAGGATTGGTCAGGAACGATTGCATACGTATCGGCACATACCAGTGGCCTAAGCTGGCATAAACATCTATTAACTGAAGAGTGTGTGAAGTTCCTAATGGTGCATTCAGACGACGGACCGAATCCTGATTTGTCGTCGACGGCTAATCCGCGGATGATCCATCTGCAGGCGCATCCACACGACGGACGGTGTCCTAGGAGAAAACAGCTGAATTACCCTCGACAGCAGATTCAGCGCTCACCTGCACCGGCTGGCAGCAGATTGGTTAGAGAGTATTCAACATGGATGCCCGCAAGAAGCGACGCTTGGCTGCGATGTCTGTCGCGTTTTGACGAATGAACGAGGAGTGTTATTTTTTCAGGAGAAAAGGGAGTTGCTGGCAGAATGTTCTTTCGACTACATTGTTCCCCCCTTGTAAACTTCTGAACGCGTCTCCCACCCTTATTTAGAAGCGGCACGTCGCCAGTTGCAGAAGTTAGAATATTTCACCACCATGACGGCTAAGAATCTCACATGTCAAACGATGGCGGCGACCATTTCCCGAAACACCAAAAGTGATTGCGTATTTAATCCCCTGAGAACAAAGCCCTCGGAAACTAGGTAAACTATGCTCAAGCATAGATGATGCCAACCAGTCATGCAGCTGTCCGCGAGCCATGGAGGACATGCCGCAAGCAGACGAAAAGTGTACTGGTTGCCAGAAACCCCGAGCTAATCCGCTGAATTATTGGCTTTCTCCCGCCAAAATCCCGATGTGAGAAACAGGTTGGGGTCATCAGTCCTCGAGCCGCGCGGACGAGGGGAATCGCTGATGTGAGGTCACGCGACGCGCCGTCCGTCCCGCCACATCCGGACTCTGTCCGTCGTCTAAATGCACGATAAAGAATAGTGATTGTAGTAGGACACCAACTTGAAGCACTAAATCAGCTCGCACTCATAATTTATTCTCTGAGATCACCAACACTTAATTTCCTACCACTTTTTCACTATTAAAAAAAATGAAGTCCAAGTTCATTTTTTGGATTTAGCATTGATGCTTCCACATCTGAATGCCAGCGAGACTTCACAGACTTGAAACAAGTTTTTTTTTTTAAACAGTGAAAGCTGTTATGCAATCACAACAAGGGTTGTTACGTTGTAGTGTTCGCCACCACCGGTGTCTGTAACCACTATCGTGCAAAATAAAAAAAACTAAGTAAATAAAAAACCGAGGACAGACTTGCATTCGAACCCATGTACCCTGTGTGCCAGCCCAGTATTCTACCATTGAGCTACGCCAGTGCTTGAAATTCCAATGCAAACTGACCCTAGGCAGACTCCGTGTCGGGAAGGGAACCGCGTTAATGTGTGTAATAAAGCATTTTAGAAGAGCAAAGGAAAGAAACAACCAGGCATCACACAATACGAATTGCCTAACGAGGGGGTCGCCCAATGCTCCAACCCATTACAATAGCACTAGCATACCTGCTAAGTTAGGAGAAATGGAACCCGGGAGAGCTACTCAACAGGGGGGGGGGTATTGCGATTGCAATTATATGAACACTGTCAGCGGAGCAAATATGCGCGCCAGCGCTAGGGACGAGCACAGCTGAAGCAGAGATGAAACGACCCAGCCTTCACCGTCGTGCGAAGGGCATATGCGATCTGCGTGCGATGCCTGTCGTCGCTTTTTTACGAGTTATTTCGTCAAGCAAGAGACCATAGTACAGTCCTGCGAACCACGCGCCTTCAACCAGCTCGGCCTTCTTCGCTTGTAGCCCGGACGTATAAGAAAAGAAAACAGGCACTCTTTTCAGCAACCCTTCCCGATGAGTAAAAAAAAAAAAACTTGAAAAAATGTTGGAGGAAAAAGGTAAGGATATGGGAAAGGAGCGCTCGATAAGGGGAATGGGGATATAAGAGACATCGAGAGGAGAAAACGATGAAATTAAAAAACGAGAAAATGTATAAAAGTTCTGACTTCCAAAAAGGAGAAGCGCTGGTTAATCGTGGCAAGCAGCTAAAAAAAGCCCTGCCATTACGTTCGATGAACCCTTGCGGAAGCATGGTTCAGCTTAGCTCCTTAAGGGAGCGGGGAAAGGGGACACGTAAAGGAAAGGTACGAAAAGTCTGTAGTGAGTTGTGGGCATTGGCACGCACAGTTCCCCTTCTGGGTACAGGTGGGGGTGTCCCCCCCTCCCTGTCCGCCAGAGTCACGTCGCCACGCCCCTCCCTATTATATCAATGTAAAGGGATGACTATGCGCTCCCCCCCACCCCAAAGGTTACTGTTCAAATGCCTAAGAGCATGGGTGGGTCAATACGATGGAACAGCCACAAAGAAGGCCATGCATTTCTCCATGGGTATGTCCATTTGTTAACATGCACTGGTCCATCACATCTGAGGCATTGTAAATGCCAACTACATCCTAGTCTGCATTCTTGGAAAACGCCAGTGTGAAATGAGGACGAGGTAGGATCTTTTTTGTACGTCACAATATCCTCTGGCATGTAATATAAAACGTAAACATTCAGCAGTTGTCCGTCTGGCACGAAAACTGGTGCCGTGACGGGATGAGGCATTTGACGGCTGCGTGAATGGCCGACTGCCCACTGCCTACATCGGGAAACAAAAAATTTCCACAAAAAAATGCAGCAGCACAGGAACGACCTCCGTCAGTTGAACAGCGAACGGAGTGCAGGGGCGCAGTACTGCGAGCAGTCTGACCACCATCACTTCCTGGAATGCTGGCACATTCGACAGCCAGCAAAAGCATAAACCGTACTACGCAATCACTGCCCTCCCTCTACTACAACGGAGTTTCTTCTTTTTTTTTTCGTTCATGTGCGTAACATTCAAAAACTGCATAGCCACGCGTGATTTCTCTGCTCTTACTTAGCAGGTTGCATGTTCTGGCGCTATTTTCGCATCTTGAAAACGTACAATGAACCGAGTTGAACTTGCCACCATCGTTAAAATAAAGAAAAAATTCTTTTCACTACGAGGCCAGACAACTTTGCTCAAGGGGCCAGACAAAGCACTGAACGTGCGGGGCAAAACTTGATTTCCGGGAGATTTTCCTATGACCCGTACAACTGGGAGAATCGGTCAAAATCCGGAAGTCTCTCAGGTAATTCGGGGGACTTGGCAGGTATGCACTAGGCGAACTTCTTCGTTATCAGCCACAGCATAAAAAAATTGCACGAAATTCCAGTGTAGCAGGTACCACAGTTCTCCAAAGAATGACGAAGAATGTCAAAGGGAATGCCTCCCTACTACAAAAAAATATTATGGCATAATGGGTACCCTGCAAGTGTGCTTGTAGCAGTTACCCAAAGAATGTATAAAAAAGGCTCTAAAAAAGCCACTCTTCCAGCTTTTGCTGCGACAGTGATGTGCGTTCTGTGTAGGCCTGGCGTTTTTCATGCTTCCCCCCCCCCTCATATTGTGTCCACTTGGTCTCATTAAATTTCCTGAAACTTTATAATGAGCCTAAGGCTCCCTTATAACACATTGTAATTCACTGCTACAAGTAAAGATTTATGCAGGTCCAAGTTAGTATCGCGCTTAAGATCTGGAGTGTCACATCAAGCTGATGAGAGAACTCCCAAGGCAGCATCACCGTGAGTATTTTCTTGCTTACCAAAAGTCTCTCCCATGCAGGAAGGGCATTTTTAGTATTGCAAAGGCAAAAGTTACTAATGAGAGAAAAGATTTTTTTCCTCTCACTTTTTGTTTGTTGACCCTTCAAAAAAAACTTCCAATGTCTTCATACTCCCCCCCCCCCCCCCCCCACACACATGCTCAGCCTTCCTTTAGCCAAGCACTCTAGACATACTCCTAAACCAAAGCAAAAAAGCAGCAAAAGTCCAAGAAAGTAGAGCTTCCAGTCACTGGCAATGGCTATATGCGTCAGTGAGTGCACTGCCACATGTAGGAATTTTTCTACGAACCAGCAAACAATTCACTTATCTTGAACTTCATTACAGCGCACCATTAGCCATTGACAGAAGGAAGGAAAATGAACATGGCACTGACTTAACAGCGATATTTTTTTGGGGAAAAAAAATCTGCCTAGAGTCAGTGCCATGTTTGTTTCTTTTTTTTAATCCATGTGAAACATTGTGCTATAACAAGATGAATCCTAGCCAAGTGACCCAACTTGCTGTGTTGCTGCAGTACGCATGTCGACTACAGCCCCCGTGCCAGCAATGGCATTATATAATATTAAGTGATAGAAAGACCCCTTGCAATGCAGACATCTTCAATCATTTCTCTTTAAAAGTCTGCAGGAAATAATGTTAGGGGAAGCTCTAGTTCTCACATAAACTCAAACCACTAACAGTTACCTTGCTACAAAATTTTACACTATGTTATAACACAAATTTAGAAAGCCAAATAAGTGAAACCTTAAGATATGTGTGGAATATTACAAGTGTAATGGTGTAACAACCAACCTTTTGACAGATATGCCTTGCTATGAAACTAAGCCATATTGGAAGTTTTGGCACATATTCATTTATTTCAAGTACTCAGATATTAAAGTAAATGAAGAATAAGCACGGAAAGCTTCCTTGTAAAGCTTTTGTTATTAAAGTAGTTATGCTCCTTAAAGTTATGCTCATCAGTGAATAAAATTTTTTTTTCTGACACTCAAGATTCTCAAGTTTATTTCACTACGAGCACTATATAATCATGAGCAAGAAAATTAAAAAACATAGCGGACAATGTTTTTGCTTGTTCATTGAAAACCTTTATCAATACTGAAAATTAGAGCATCACAGCAGCCAAATGTGACCTAACACACTGCTATTTGAAAGAATGCCTTTTGCTTATTTCATGTATGGATCATTAATGAAGAAAATCTCCAGAATGGCTCAAGTCCTGGCTTCATTTTGCTCCATGGTTATGTTTTAACACACTGTGACCGCATAACATGCCTCATGAAAAAAAAAAAAAAAAATGCTCGAGACCAGTAACGTGTGTGCAGCTTACGTGAATATGCCAATATAGGCTAGTAAAGAATGTGAATACCATTTAACAAACTTACAAGTATTACATGCCCTGTGAAAGCATGGACCACTACCAAAACGTCGGAGGGCTACGTTTTTGAGATCCCCGCTTTACCACCAGATAAGCAAAGTGCTGCTGGCACTTCAACTCTTCGGTAGGTGCTGTTAGCCCCTTGACTTACACGACCTTGCATATTGTTGTTTGCGTGCATCAGATTGTACGCCAAGCAAAAGCAGCAGCAATTTTATAATCACTACAAAAGAAGTCTTATCTGCGTATTTTAGGCTATAAAAGTTTACAATCGAAAAAGTATCCTGCAATTCAATACTCATTTAAGATACCATAAATCACGTGCACCAGTAGATGGTCACGTGATCAGCCTCTTTTGCTTTGTTTTTTTCTGCATGGGTTGCCAAAAGTCATCTTTAGTGACTTATAAGTAAAAAACTATAACTATGAGCACATGCTTAATGATAACAGAAAGGCTGCTTTTAACCAATACGATACATAATCTTTTAGTTAGTGGGGTTATCTCAATTCTGTGTAGGTTGAAATTTCCAGAGCCCTCGACTACGGCATCTCTCATGACCATACCGCGCTTTCGGGACGTTAAACCCTACATATCATCATCAATTCTGTGTTATAAGCAGTTGGCAGTACTTTCCACATAACCTCCAACAATACTCACGTCATCGTCGTCACTTGATGAGCTTTCAGCAGTTGATTTGGAGCTCGCAGCTCCATTCTGCTGAGCACTTTCCTTGGGCTTCTCTGGTTCTTTATCTTCAGAGATCAGATCCATAACCAAGCCATCAATTTCTTTCTTCCTAAAAAAGCACAAATATTTTATGGCACAACAGGCAACAAATGAAGCAGCGACTATAAAGACTGAAAATATATTCAATGCACCAACTTTTATAAAATTTTTCACTACTACATTTCAGTGCTAGTACACGTCAGGACACCAATAAAATGACAAAAACCGAGTTATCGTTCTATTAATTCTTGCGTCTCTGTTCCGATTGTGGCACAGAAGCCAGATGTCCATACAAGAAATCCCCATTTCACCTTACTCTTTCACTAGTAGAATGACAAAATGTATTCCATCCAATGAAATGTGTTGAAAGAATGTCGAAGCATGACGAAGCCCATATGTGGCAGTTTTTACTCCTGGAGAGTATCCTGCAAGTGTTCACCAAGGTGGCTGTCTATTTCAGTGCGTGGTATCATGATGACCGGGCAGACCCCCGATTGGAGAGAGCTGACTCGGGTAATGATTGACGCCTCTACAATCGCTCACAAGCTATCCAATCAACAAGTGCCAAACTAGACAGCTCCCTTCGATAGACCTTAGCAGAATAAATCCCCTGATTGTTTTAGAATCAGGACCAACTAAAAAAGCTACTGTCGAAGTTCGAAATGCACAAGACATTGCATACCAAGACTAGAACTTGCATAGTGCCTCCATCAGAATGGAAATCCATCCCTACAATCATTGAGGTGAAGATGATACAGCTGACATGTGAGCATATTTTATGCTTTGACAGAGGTAAAAAGTGAGTTTCTTGTAATTTTTTTCTATTCACTAGTGGTGTGAACAGCTCACGTTTTCTAGTATTTTCCAAAGTACACAACCATTGGTGGGTGAGAGCAATGGAATGGACACCAAGGTATGGAAATGAAAGAGGACAGCACAAGCTCACACAAAATCAATTTGAGATCACCGGGAGAGGCTTTAATCTGGCAGAGGACATAGAATAGGCTGAGGATAACAATTATGATGGCATTAAGCATCGAGCTGATATTGCCAAATAAGCTGGCGGTAAAACAGAAAAATGCACATACTCTAACAGGTCGTGCATTCCCTTTACTGCAATCACTTCCCTTGCCATTGTATCTCTGCATTACAACATGAGCATATTAGTGAAGAGGACCCATGTTCTGCTTTAAAGGAGGCAAACAAAAGGCTTCCTTGGACATATGCAACAACCAAGAAAAGAGGGGCAATGGCTTTTCTCTTGTAAAAGAAGAAATATTGGTCACGTCTTTAGAAAGACTCGTAATAGCATCTTAGAGATGCACTGAAATTGAAATGAACATCCAAAGAGATGGAGAAACTTCCACTGCTAATTCTACGATTTTGGCAAACATTTGGAAAGTTGAGTGCTAAGTGTAGCAAATCACATGTCAAGATGTTACACTCAACATGCAGTGAATAGGATCGAGCCTGCAACAAGAGAAAAACAGTTTTGTGTGCCTAGTACACAAATGAAGAAATGGATAATTAAAAACAGAAAAAAGTTTTATGCACGTCATTAACTGAGTATGGCAAAATTAATTTTAATATAAACCTTCAATATACTTTTTCCCATAAAATTTAGTGCTCAAATTTTAAAATAATGTCCGAGACCATGCTACACATCATTTAAGAACACTCCACAGTCCAACAGTACACAGTAAGTTGTAGGGCTGAAAGTGATAGCAAATAGATACCTTCAAGTAACGGTAACATTGAAGTATGAACCCTAGAATAAGTCACTTGACAGTCTATCAGTGCACTGTTAATTTGAATTCACCTAGTATTTCTGATTGATTGATATGTGGGGTTTAACGTGCCAAAACCACCATATAATTATGAGAGACGCCGTAGTGGAGGGCCCCGGAAATTTCGACCACCTGGGGTTCTTTAACGTGCACCCAAATCTGAGCACACGGGCCTAGAGCATTGCCGCCTCCATCGTAAACGCAGCCGCCGCAGCCGGGATCCGATCACGCAACCTGCGGGTCAGCAGCAGAGTACCTTAGCCACTAGACCACCGCGGCGAAGCCCCTAGTATTTATCATTCAATCAATTATAACTGCTGGCTTTGGTTCTTAGAGAAGGCTGTGTTAAACTGCCAGCAAGTCTCTTACTTGAAGAAATGGTGCTAGTCGCACTATTCCTTCACTTCCACACAAATGTCGCCACTGCGTGACTGTGTGATACGAATTACTACAAATGCATGCTACAAATGCATCTAATAAAGACAATTCCACAAAAATATATATTAGAGCCTCACAGACAAATAATGGCACGCTCTGAAATGTACATATGCCATGTAATTCTGGTAACATGAGGATACACAGTTCACACAGTGATGATGGCCAAAGGCAAGGGCACAAAGACAGACATAAGTTTCCAAAAACAGAATACAAATGAAGTGCTACTTGGCTACTAGCAAAAACTGACAAGCCATAGTATTAAAGTTTTACAAATAAAAAGAGCACACATTACTTGATGCTCCACTGGAAAAAGACAGGCACTAAAGAATAGCTACAGCACAGGAGTTCACTTGGCAAACATTCAAGACCAAAGTTGGCTCATGACACAGGCAGTGTGGAGCTCGAATGTAGAAAATAACATTTGTTGCAAAACCTGTCCTCATGCTATGCACCCCGGCTGGGTAGCTGCGTGTGTTCAACAAAAACTGAGAAGAAATAAAATGTTTTCCCTCACAAGAACAAATGCTAGAGGCATACTTACGTAATGCCACCTGTGCAAGAAACCATAGCTATTATTTTTCCCATTTGCGTCAAGGTTAATAAAGTGACTCCAATTCAAGATCTGCACTAACGGCAAATAGAATGTTTCAATTTCAATAGTGAAACCATAAAAAAGCTAATGCAAAACTGGCCATCTAGGCTTCGAAACGCAAATTTACAAATCCGAACCCAGGCAAGATCCAGATTAGTTCAATAAATCAGGCACACATCGGACTTCCACTGACGGCGAGCTGTTCTTTTACACACATATATCGCACCATCTTAACAACTGCGTAACTTTAAAAGCAAACAAAAATATTCCTCTATCAAACGCTGCGCGCGGAAAACACAGTGGACCATCAAAACTAGAGTGACAAGACGCAAGGCTGAAGGGGTCCGACGCTAACCAGACGTCGCGCGGATAGGCCAACTGACACTAGAATACAAGAGCTGGCAAGGCATGCCGTATTTTCCTGGTGAAGCAAATGATCGAACAAGGCAGCCCAGCATAGCAGGCAAACAAATTAACATATGCTTCAAGTTTCAACGCGCGGCACTGCGATACACATGATCGTATGCACTTTCTTGGCAGCTGGCGCTTGCAAGAGGACGATAGAAATTTGTTTTGCTTTCATATAAGGCACCCGCACCGTAGCCTCGCATAATAGTTATTTCACAGCCTCCAGTCTGTCGAACTATGCACTACGACGTTTCCGCAAAGGAAACGCCAGAGTCAACACAAAGCGTGACTGACGCTCGGCGACGCATTGCCTATCGAAGTTGCCACAACAAATAGCTTACAATTAACGAGTACGTGGTGACAGGCAAGGCGTAGCGCAACTACATCAGCGTGGTGTGCGAAAAAAGAAGTTGGAACATTCCTCACTACTGCAAACAGCGCGTTCGAATTCAGTCGACGCGCGTACTCGTGCTCTGATCAAAGACGCTCGAAGTCACTTTCAAACAGGCGTTGCTGGCATTCGAAATTCTCGAAAACGCTGTGCGTAAAACGTCTGAATCGTAAAAATGCCATCCATATGCGCGAGAACTGTACCGAACGCGCACGGCAGCCGGAGTGGACAGCGTCCGGCCTCTCGCTTCACGACGCCACAAAATCGCTACAAGCAATCACAGACGCGACTATCGTTCGGGCGCAAGTAATTTAGTTTTGCGAAATTTTCATTCGCTATCCCACGAAGTAGCACGCTTCAAACGGCCGCTCAATTGTGAAACGCGTACACAGCCAAATGACAAGTTGCTCGTGAGATGAAGTCTCCAGCAACGCAGCGTCTCATGTAACCACAAGAACTGCATACTAAAGTTCCTTCAATGAGAACGCACGCCGTTACTCGCTGTAACTTCTACAACGGTATAAGAAAAAAAAACTTTGAACCGGAAAAAAATCATTCTGTTGGACACAGCCTTAGGTCGGCAAAAGAAAGTGGAACTGCAGAAATTCGCGCTTTGGACTCGCTTGGACTGACGACTCGCCAAAATTTTCCTGCGCCGAACTCTCGGACACGCGAAAATTTTGTTCAACCGGGCTCACTCGGACTCAGACTCACGGCACGACCTGAGTCTGAGTTCGCCGACCTATGCACACAACGCGCCTGAACGGGAAATCAGAAAAGAACGAGGACGCGTCTCTTACCACGGGGGACCGCTAAGCCTCGCGTCTTGGAACCACGCGATCATTAAATTGCATGCCTTCCCTTCCCAATGACAAAAAGGCAACACTTGGGAAAGCGCGAGTGCGATGTAATAAACGCAAGACTTACCTGTCAGTGAAGTCGATACCGTACTTCGCTTCTAACTGCAGGCGTATTTTCTTCGATGAAAGAACGTCGAGGTTGGCACCTACCAACATCTCTGAAAGCACATCAAACACTTCCCTGCATTACCACACCGTATCACGACAACCGCTTCCTATCTCCTATCACACACAGTGAAATGAGGGCAAATATCAATTTCAAAGATGTTTCTTACCCGAGATAGCCTTTCTCAACTCACTGGCCGGCACCTCGGCCATCTCCACGTTCACTATGCACGTGCTTCTCTGATGATGCCGACGCTCGAACTATTGGCTGTCGCTGTTTACTCACAGAATTAACCGAGCCGCATAGACATACCGGGCGTATGCATGACTGTTTACTAACAAAAAATATAATCGTAGCAAAAAAATAAACGGACAATAAACTTGTACCTTGAAATACACTTTCTTTTTACTTTATTTGTACCCAGTTTCACGTTTTAAAAGAGTAAAATCTTGAGCCTTATTTATGGGAAAGTGTTTCGGTTCCGTTTCTGTCGGTGAACTTCATAAGAGTTGATTGTTAGGCGAGATCACAAAGGAAGTGGGCGAGATGGTGCTACTGAAACCATCGTGAGAGTCACGAAGGAGGGAAAAGGTGAGAGTGCAACTAAAGACAAGACTAAACACGACACACAGAATGAGGCAATCGAGGACGCGACATTACATTCCAGCACCGTTGCAGACATAAGGCTTATGCAGACATAAGGTCCCTAGATGAAACAAACAGTGACTGCAGCGCCACGGCGAGTCATGGCGCGAACTAATACGAGTGGCCGCGACCTAGGTGCTTTTCTGGTGACCGCGCGCGGCCTAGGCACCCAAGTCGCGCGAACATCCCTAGGCGCTTTAGTCCCTAGTGGTGCGCCGACGTCGACTGTCAGCGCAGGTGTTCTGTGGCTTCTGAATTGCGGTATTATTTCTTGCGAATCTGGTGATGTGGCAGTGATTCTCGGCCGACCGATCCTTCAGACAGGGGAGATCGAGCGCCGTGGGTGTTTCGTGCAAATGGTAGCGTTGAATGACCAACATCCCGCGTCGATGTGATATGCTCAAGTGCTGGCTGTCTTGTGTGTGCTGTGTGGTGCTTTGACAAATTTAGTTCCCTGCACATTTGATTATACCTTAGTGTTGGCTGGTTCATGCGAGCCGTAGCGTTGAATTACACCCGCGTAAGCGTGATCATGTTTGTACAGACATACTTCCAAATGAGATTTAGGGTCTGACACACTGTACTGACAACACCACTGTCACACGGGTTCTTGTTTGCTATGTCGTACCCTTTTATATCGCAGTTAGATGACGGCTGCACCGTATTTGATCCAATTAGTTTTGGGCAATTAGTAGTGACTAATACGGGTGTCACTCGAATACTTTTGATCGAGATCGACAGGTCTGTCGCTGCTGCGCTGGATCGAGTTTGGCGCAGACGTCCTAGGTGATTGCAATCAAGAGTGCCCGTGTGACACCGGTATGATCGCACGTGCGAATGCTCAAACCCTTTCTGTGCGCTCTTGTGGTCTCTAGCTTCTTGGCTGCTGGTTGCGTCAGTAGACGAGCATGCAAGAAAAACAGTTTACTACATATACAAAGCTATTCTATCAAACTTATGCAAGAAAGGGGCATAATACAGGGTAGCTAGGTCTAATAATGGGACGTCCGCAAATGAGCACATGTACACAGAAGGACTGAAAGCTGGACCAGTTGGTGACAGTACTTTAACATATTTTGACACAGCGCACGACTATGCGGGCACAAGAGCGATTTGTCCCTTCTCTAGTGCCGTGTAGTCCTGCCCTGTGTTACAATACATAGTGTGCACGTGCGTCACGCCTCGCCGATTAGTCACTTCCGAAATGTGCCACCGACATGCCTGGGTACCTACTGACTCCGTGGCCTACCGCTGCCGTATTGTTTCCTCGTGCATGCGCCCGTTCAGTTTTGCCTAACAATGCAAGTTGGAGCAATTATCAGTTGCTGGTGAGGCAAGTTGATATAACAGTCCACGAAGAGCGAGCAGAGCGTCAGGGCGTTCTCTTTGCCGAAAGTTATTACCTAAAATTCAGAACGCACACTGCGATTTTCCGAAAAGCACCGGCATGTTTGGCTGGCGCAGATTAAAAAAAACGACTTGAAGAACCAATGATATTTGCGTCTTCAGGTGTAACTTCATTACGGGTAAGTGCTATATCCAAGCACGTACCTGCAAACAGAGATAGGTACTGTATATACAAATTTGTCCGCGACTGCTGCATGCACAATCAGCGTGTCAGGGAGGCGGTTAAAATTGTGAAGGCGATCGCTGGAATTCGGGTATTGCATTCAAACAAACGGTGAAAATGGATGTGAAACGCTATTCGTTCACTCGCGATTTGAAGTATAGCCGATTGGTTCGAGTTGGGGGGTCAGGTTTTTTAAAAATTGGTTAATTGATTCCCTAAAACGGTCTGCATCATTTTCAGGGATAATACTGTACATTAGCGCACAACAAGAAAAGTAATATACAAGGTAAAAAATTAGTCGTAACATACGCGAAAAAAAGTGACCGGCATCAGCGCGGCACGCACCTGCAAAGTCTCTACCTTGCATAATATATTCCTTGATTGTTTCCACAAATTCAATCAAAGACGCTCAACATCAGCAATGTTTAAAACACTCGGGGAGCCGTACTGCCACTTTGGTGGTGTGGGCCGCAGCAATATATTCAACTTGTTATTAATAATATATCTCCTGTAAACTTTCCTAGCTCATCTCGATGACTCGTTTTCGATGGGAGCTGTGCGCTTCGCTCATCCACTTTTAAAATTGCGGCTCAAGAGACTTCGAGCTTTCACTTGTTCTTAGACCACGCAATTGGTAGTGAAAGCGAGCTAATGGGCCCTCGTAGATCGTGGCGGGCAGCCGGTGTAGGCGGTGGCTGGTATAAGTGTGACACGTTTTGATTTTCCGGTCTTGTATTAAGTTAACAATCGAGGCCTTCCTGATCCGATGAGCTCGTTAAAGCATGACATTGAAAAATGGCATCGCTTATCTTCAAACATCGCGCACAGCAACAGATGACGAGCCCTCAACAAACGACGCTGCAGCATGCTAACTGCTGTAGGCACCCAGCGAAGTACCCGGGCATGGCGGGAGATGGGGACATCGGCGGAAGTTACATCACATGAACACTATGTATAGGTTCAAGCACATGTATGTGTTCGGTCTTGCTAAATCAAGAGTATCACATGGAAAATTGAAGGACTTTTCATTCTTTAGGAAGTACAATGTCATTTTGGGTCGTATTACTAGTTTTCCTGCCTGTCAAAAGGATGTGATGTTTACTTCACTATCAGATTAGCACATTTGTCCCCGCTTAGTAGTCAGTGCACCATACAACCTTTTGATCTTCGTTGGTGCGTGTGTGCAATATTAAATACCATGAAGTTACATTTCTCGGCTCCTCTATATTATAAATAACTTCATTTCTTGGGATAGGCACAATGATAAAGTAATGTGGTTCTTCTATTGAGCGAAATTTCTCAAAATTTTGTTGAGCCTTGTAAAAGACAAGTCCACTTGTCAAAACGTTTTCTCCAGCGCCCACCCCCCGTTTACAAAATTTTCATGGCTCCCCAATCTGTAATTTTTACTAATAAATACTAATGAAACTCTATCTAGCAAAACCATCTTACAAAGTTTCTAATCTATCGAATTTTCATTCACCAGCAAATATCTGTAGAATGTAATGTCTTCAGACCGATTTAGTTTTTTTAAAACAGCTATGTCAAAAAGCAGTGATTCTTTTTATAATTTTACTGCAACAGATTTTAGTATGCGCTCTGACACTATCACATTGAAGCATTTATGTGCCCTCTCTTTACCTTTATGGAGCTGCATGCCATAATCCTGTGCAGAAGAACAATGAATGCAGCCTTTGGCACTGCTCATACGTTCCAGATGGTGGCAGAGGTGACGGTGGCTGCTTTTGTTATTTCATGGCTTATGTGACAGAAGGCACTGGTCACTCCTAGCCTTTTTCTAGCTTGGAATGCTCGCACAATCACTGCATTCATTCCCCTTGTCATTGCACCTCGGTAACTTGGCATAGTCACATGTCTCCTTGGTCTGCATCACCCAGACATGGTGTCCCTCTTCTATGTCATATTTGCCCCTACATATTTTTAAGACACAAAGGTCAGGCTAGAAGTACTCTTTGCTATTCTAATCGGTACCTGTTCTTGTAGAAGCCACAAAGATATGGCTGTTTTTAATGACAAAGTAATGAGAAAAGGAGCTTAGGGGAGCTGAAAATTTTGACAGCTTATTCATCATATCCTGCATCGAAAATATAGGCACACATTTGTGGAGTAAGCTAGGCTCACATTGAGAGCCTACTAACTAATCACAAATCTGTGAACTTGTTCTCTACCTACCAGAAAGACAAAGTATCACTGATACCTAATGAACCTCGTGATTTTATACAGAATGCGTCCATGGATTCTCGAGTAGTTGTATCCCTGCCTCTGTCAATAATCCAAACCTTATCCAGGTACGGCTCACACTTAAGAGAATCGCAATGCGTCAGCAAATCTGCCCCATTTTTATCTTTTAACGAAAGCTTATGTTTCTGTGCATGCTCATTCACGCATATTCTTGCCCGGCCAACATTCATTTTTTGCTGTAGGATAGCGGAATTTCATAAACGACCTCATTGACACATTTTGTGTATGATTGGTGTGCCTCTTTCCGTACTCACCTTTGTTGCTTCCATCAGATAGTATATATGAGAAAGCTGAGATGATTTTCGTGGTGCAGAAAAAAAGAACCAGCATGCCATCTCTGTTAGCGACCATTTTTAGGTTGTGTGCAGCTCGATGCATACACGGTACAACCTCAGGTCTTGCTGTTCTGCGCTCTTGCTCTACCCCAGTATCGTGGTGTTCTCTCTTGATAGTCTGGTGGAGCAACTCAGCTACAGTGTTAAGGAGCATGTGAAGGAAACCAACCACAGACAACCTGTCCAATTGATTTAGAAAAGTCTTCTGCATAACGTGCGAGCACGACCCTGCACATGCATACTCTGGGCATTGTTCAGCTATGGCCCTTTTCACAGTTTTGGAATGCGTCAACTCGTATGTAAGCAATTTTTCAGCACACCTAGACAAAAAAGCCAACAGCCGTGAGGACTTTGCAGGGTAATGCGCTAAGCCAAAAACTGCAAAAAGCCACAAGCCTTCAACTCATGTGTAAACACCAATCCTTTTTCAGTCTGTGAAAGCCTGCTAGAACATTGTTAACATTGCGCTAATATGTG